GCTTTATTCGGTGGTTATAGCAACTGACAAGGCTTTATCACACCATATTCACCGAGAAAGGGCGGGCCATTAACGCTATTATCATATAGCTTACGCGATAGCCTATCCAAACTGATGCAGTGAAGAGTGACACAATGTACAATTTACCCCCTTGCACATGCTGAATAGAACATAGAACATTGTTCCATCTGGAGTCACCTGAGGTCACTGGGGGGTTCATGTTCTATGTCTTCTATCTGGGTCACAGGCAGGGAACAGGTGTTCTTATGGGAGTCACCCGAGGTCATCGGAACACAAGTCAAGTTATTTTTGGATTTTTTAGAAGTAGAGCCGTGTTCTATTGGGTCACCTGAGGTCATATGCGGGTGATTATTCATTTTGTTTGATGTATGGATTGGGATGAATAAATACCTCGATTTTGACTCTATTTGTAACATAACGGCGACATAAAGAATGTGGAATGGAGCCTTCTGATTGGTCAACGTCACCCGGCTATATGATAATACACCATAATACATAGGGGTTCTACATAAATATACCACACTATTTTGTGTAAATAGTACAATATACATTTTGTATATGAGTCATGGATTGCATGATACGTCAGTTGTTTGTGTAAGTTATAATCTGATTTCTTAGCATTAGATATATATTGGCCTTGTATGTGACATCAAGACTTACCTGACAGGTATAAAGTGTAGAGTGAATGTATGAAGCTTGTTCCTACAGTTCACCAGGTGTAGACCACACAGTGGGAGCCACATGATGGCTGCTGTGGGCCTGACCAGGCAGGACAGAGCAGCTAAACTGAGGTAGATCACCACCTGTTTACTGGGGGAATAGGAGAGACTGAGTTAAGCCTCGGTCACAACCCGCCGTACGTGCTTTTTGTCCGTACGTTTTATGGGAGGCTACGTCTGCTACGTTTTTTCTGAAAACGTGGGGAAGGAGTGGCGTTGATGCACGTCACTCGCACGTTGCACGCACGGCTGCGCAAGGTGTAAGGGTGTGGTCTGCATGCTACGTCTGGCCGTGAGCAGTTGCGTGCATCGTACGTTGCGCAAGGGTTAAGTGAGTTGTACGTGCTTACAATGTACGATCTCTGTGAGTCTGTGCAATTGCAACTTTACCGTAAGGAGGCCATACTCACACGTGCATCTTTTGTATGGTACGTACGGGACACGCGCGTTGCACGTACTTGCACGCACGGGTGGTGAATCCGTAGACCGCACGCAGAAAAAGGCACTTTTAAGTTCTACGGCGTGTCTGCATGCTCCCAGATCCGTAGGATTCCGTACGGAGGCGGTACTCACCACGCACGGATGCCCTGCGTTTGCCCACGTTTTTGCACGTAGACAACACGCAGAAGCACGTACAGCGGGTTGTGGCCATAGCTCAAGTCAGTCAGATTGTACATGTATCTGAGTAACAAACGAAACTGCAGGGGTTGAAATACATTATGTGCACTTGTGCAGGTAACACTGAAACTCACCTGAACCAGACAAACTTTACCTGCACCACTTAGACATTGAGATGTATGGATCATACAAAAACTGTTCAGAAACCATTGTCGCTATTTTTCTTTATTCAGTTCTTTATAGACAGTAGCAGCGATGAAGGCAGCAAATAAAAATCCACATATACCTACAAGTTAGGTGCAGATAGACATCAGAAATACCTGCACAGCCCCAGTTTTACCTGCACAGCCCTAGTTTTACCTGCACTAAGGTGAATATGTAGCCAGTATTTCAAGCCCTGAATTGTGAATCATGGTTGCACTTAAGATTAAGATTGAGATATTCTTCTTGAGCCTGTCTATGACTGCACAATATTAGCACGGTTCTGTTATCAAAAACAAACCTTGACACTCTAGTTGAAGGTTCCTGTGGCCAGGGGTAGTAGTACAAAGCAGCTGTGGTGAGGACTGTTTCCATGGAGTTGGTCAGAGTTCTGGGTCCACAGTAGAACATGAACCAGGACAGAAGCTGGCATAATAGCTGACACAATTGTCATGGAATCATCACATGAGTAATATTATGACACATTCTGAATCGCTACGGTTGGGCGTAGGGAAAAATGTTGTGTTTCCTATTTCCCAACTGACCCTAGCCTTTATTGTGTGTGGATCCCTGCAAGGGACATAAATATTTCGAGCTGATTGACCTTTTTTAGCTTCATGATCTGACACCTGAGTGATGAAACATTGTACAATCGTTTTTCCAACATTGACATTGCAAATATTTAAGTGCCCTCGATCATGCAAGTTATACTTTGTTAAAACTGTATTTTACCCATATCCCTACCTACCAACCGTAATTTTTTCAGGACTCTTTGAACATGAAACAGGAAACACAACATTTTTTATTGGCCTATTGGCAGGGCTGTCATATCATAATATCCTACTCTACAATACTGATAAGCTTTCACAATTGGTTTTGCTTATCACCTACTGAACTCAGTTCGTATCTTTTATGTCATCCTTGGTGTGATAATATCCCTGGGCTAATTTGTACAGGCATAAGTCAAGTTGGTGACACAAACAAAAGGATACAGTCCATTGTGCTACTTCTTTACCATGTAACTTCCTGGTGACCTTGTACAAGTGAAGGTCACATAGTGCTGTAAAGAGTCCCTGAAGAAGTCTTGGGAGAAAAACCTGGAAATCATAGATAAAAAAAATTTATAGTGCATTGCTCAATTATCAACATACTGTCATTAGGCCACACCAATTTAATTTCTTGGTTAACGGATTTTTCGAGAAAAATAATGGAGCGGGCGGGCGAAAAAAAAAAAAAAAAGGCCTAGGCATCCTATTATGGCCCCAAATGGTATGATAGGAGCCTTGAAGTCAACACACCAGGCTGGTTCAAAATTTAAACAATGAATTTTGAACTTTTAACGATACCACTGCATTGAAATATGGAATAACTGTAACAACTAGGAAGAAAAAGACTGTTTTCAACTGTTCAGGGCAAATTATGAGCATTTTGCAGTCGATTCTGAATTTTTATTTTTATTTGCAAATCAGAAAAAAATGAAGCGGGCGAATCCGTTAACCAAGAAATTAAATTAGTGTGGCCTTAAGTAAAGATGACCACTATGTGACGTGTATGCAGAAAAAAACCTTTCGAATCCTGTATCATCATCACATGAAAGCCATCCGATGCAATTTCAGGGTGGCAAAACGAAAATGTTTTGTACGACATATACTGCAATTTCTTGTCACATTTTCATCATCATCAAGTGTTTGTCTCTCTATTTTTTTGGGTACCACCCATAAATAGCTAGAATTAGCCTATGATACAAAGCAAGCAACTGTTTTCCGTCAGCGACATCACATTTTGCCTCACACTCACAGATATCAGTATGCTAAGAGATAGGGTTCATTCCACTTTAAATGTATCATATTACAAGAAATTGACCTTGAAAAACCATGGCCAATTTTGCAGCCCTGAAATTGTAATGGATGCCTGTAACTAGTGCTGTGTACCGGTTCACTGGACCGGTTCCTGACTAAAAATGTTTAGGTTCAAGTAAAATGCCATCGGGCATTGTTGAGTGTCGGCCTCCATGTTATGTGGCCAAAGTTTTGCCCAAACAACATTGCAAGGTTGCCAACATGCAATTTTGTATATGCCATGGGTTCAGGTCCAGACTTACAAGTCCGGAGCTGAACCTAGACCTCTGGACTTGAATCCGGACCTGAACCTAAATGTGGGTTTAGGTACACAGCACTACCTGTAACTCACCAACAAGGTGACACTGTCCAGCCTGAGGACAGCAAGAAGCTTGTAGAGGGAGGCGAACACCAGAGGATAGGTGAACCCTCGCAGCCCTGCCTGCCACTCCCAGGTCAGGTAACCATATGTGTCAGTAGTTAAGAAAAACTTATCACTTCAAAGAGAATAGTTATTAAACTTTAACATAGTCTACCAGCTCAGCCTATCCCAGCCTATGCCACACCAGGCCGCTCAAGTTCATCCCACTCTTGCCAGTCTTGGATGGTGCAGGGAAAGAATGACAGCATGTACTACTGTGGTAGTTGTTCTTTGAGTCCTGTGTTACGTAAAAAAACACTGGAAACTGTATACAGAATGAAAACAGGAGTGAACTATCAATATCTTCATAATCATCAATAATTTTCATAACCCCTCTTTTTCATTTGTCAATTCTAAAATCGTTGATGTGGTTTTCAACTTTATCTTGCAGACTGATTTACTTTGATTTGTTATGATTTGTACACCGGCGCATTTTGTACTTCTTTGTTTTCTCTTTATTATTTGTACCTCGTTTTTATTTTTTGTTGATGTTACTTTCGAGAGAAGGCCTAATTAAATACGTATAATTTCTGCCGTCCTTGAAAATAAATTTTGCAAATGAAATAAAATAATAATTAGCATGAAGGATATCCAAAGACCATGTTGTGTGCCACCTCCAGAGACTGCCAGTACTCATCAGGCACGTGTGCTGTCTGCACCACTGCTGCATTCAGTAACCGTCCAGTCAGCAACACCAGGAACAACAGTCCATCTCCTGAGGGAGGAGACTACATGTCAACTACTTACTAGTAACTTTAAGTAGCAAGGACTTAAAGGCACCAAATGCAATTTCAAGGCAACAAAACAAAAAATGTATTGGATGAGGAAATCTGTCTGATATTGACATTTACTGTCGTTACTTAGCACACTGTCATCACCATTTCATACTTAAAGTTAGCCGTGGCGACTCAGTAATCCTTTTTGTATGATGATCAGTACATTGTATCATCATACAAAAATATACCATAAGTTACAAAAAAAATTAATACAAACTATACCAATGTCGTAGAATGGCTTTATGCCAAAATCAAACGAAAAAAGACGAAATTGTAAAGAAATGAACTTGAAGACTAGATTATTCGCCAAACCATATTCTGTGCCACTTGCTCAACCCTCATGACCACGTAGATTTCATAATGAAAAGAACTTTTTTTTCTTGCAAAACTTTTCTTTTTTTATTTGCACGCGCGCATCAGTTTTGGGGCTCCCGGAGGATGTCATCCATATCAAATCAACATGGCCTTACCTCAGGCTCCTGGCAGCAGTATCGTAAAGTTATGTTCTGTGGCATCACTAAATTATGTACGTCGCCACAGGAAATATTAACTTACATATCATTTCTAATCATTTGAAATCCCTATCAACGTACCTATTGACAACAAAGTGTCAGAGCTCTCTCTTTCCTTTGGTGTTGTTTCCACCGCTAGGCCTGCGCTAGCGCTAGCGTCCCTCCCCGGCGGCGGCTTGTATTCTCGCGCCGGCGTTAGCCCTTCTTCAGGTTCCGGCTGGAGAGTCCGACGGGAACGAAGGTTGTACCGAGACATTTTCCTTGTCTCTGTTCGTTCAGCAGGCGTGAGGATGCCAAAAGAAGAAGAGAATATTTACTCTCACCCTCACTCGACTGAAAACAAATTTCAGCGCCTCACCTTTGACCGCAACACGGTTGGTCTCACTCTACAGTTTTGAATGATTGCTGCAAAGTAAACAAAACGGAGTGGAGTACAGTAGATTGGAGGAGGAAGCGCCACGCCGATTTTGATTGAACTTATCGTTAAATTTGTCAAAGACGGTCACCACAAAGTGCAAATGAATTGTAGTGTGATACATGGCGACAAACACCAAGTTGCAAATGAACTGTGCGCCGAGACCAAATGTTGATATTATAATTAGCTGTTTATTGTAGATTACTGCGCCTCTGTCTAGAGGGAGGAAGTTGTAATCAGGTCAAAGGGGCGGGAAGGGTGCGTCGAGGTAAACATTGTAGTTAGCAAATTTGAAGAACTAAGTTGTTCAGGTTTAAACATTAAATGTATTGTTATGCTGTTGTTTAGAAGTGTGTGTTTGAACACTTTCTATCACGGGCACAATTTGTGAAATACCTAGGGACTACTTTCTGTACGTTGCGGCGGAACACAAAATCACAAAGGGCAAGCGAGAATCAGAGACATCCAAAATGGCGTCTACAGGTGAAGCGCTGACTCTGGAAAGAGATGTAAGGCGGGCTATCGAGCTGCTGGATAACCTGCAGAAGACGGGAGACGTCCCTCCACAGAAGCTACAGGCCCTGCAGAAGGTTCTACAGTCCGATTTCTGCAATGCTATCAGGGAGGTCTACGAGCATGTCTACGAAACCGTGGACCTGACCGGCAGTCCGGAGATCCGAGCCAACGCCACCGCGAAAGCGACGGTCGCCGCCTTCGCAGCCAGCGAGGGCCACGCACACCCCCGCGTCGTGGAGCTGCCGAAGACGGAGGAGGGGCTGGGCTTCAACGTCATGGGCGGGAAGGAGCAGAACTCCCCGATCTACATCTCCCGAGTCATCCCCGGCGGAGTGGCCGACAGGCACGGCGGGCTGAAGAGAGGCGACCAGCTCTTGTCCGTCAACGGAGTCAGCGTGGAGGGCGAAAACCACGAAAAGGCCGTCGAGCTGCTGAAGGCCGCCACCGGCACCGTCAAGCTGGTCGTCCGCTATACTCCCAAGGTCCTGGAGGAGATGGAGGCCCGCTTCGAGAAGATGCGAAACCACCGCCGCGGACGCAGGCCAATGGAATGTTAGATCATCATGCATGCTGAATTTTCTACGAGGACTTTTAGAGAAAGGACTTCTAGAATTTTGTCACATTTAAATGTTAGAGTTGATGCAAGTCTGGAATACATATTGTACTATCGTAAGAAAACAAAGTGGTAGCACCAATTACAATGATTCACAGTTTACATTTACATATAGTTCACATAATTTAGAACTTGAGTGTTATTATTAATATTGAGGAATATGGCTATCAGACTTAGAATCATTCCTATTTTGAAATTGGAGATTGTCGTGTGAACTAGATGAATGGAATAAGCTAGAATGAGGGCACTACTGGCTAATAGTGCCAAGAGAGAAGGAATATAATGTCAATCATGAAAATGCCTCTAAATAGCAATTTAGTAGTGCTGGTCAACTTTGCCCTGATAGGTGGTCCCATCCTTAATGCACCAATCGCAGAAATAAGCTCTTAAAACAGTTACAAATTGTGTTGTAAGGACCAGGGTATGGTGTTATCAGACAGTTATCCACTATAACTGTGTTTAACAAATTCAGAAAGCAGCAAGTGGTTAGTGAATCCAAAATTATAACTGCTGCCTTTTTTCTTGCTGTGCAAAGATAATAGCACAAGGCACTCCTTTTTACAATGTCCCAGCAATTAAAAATGTCCCAGACAACTGTACCCCACAATTACATGTATTTTCAGCCTAGGATGGACCTGTTAGACCAGGCTATTAAAATTGCTGTGAGAAGCTGCAACAAAAAATACTGAAATGATTTTTTATCCCAAGAATTCTTTACCTATGTATACAGGACTTTTTTGTGTGTTTGAATTCAATTGCATCAGATATGTCAGTGATTTTAAGAAGTGGTTACATGCTGTATTCCTAGTCAACAAAATGCCTTTAGCTGAAGCATGTAGGGACAGTTAAGTTGTAGAGCCTCTGTTTGCTGAATATGTAGATGTTGGGTAGAGATTAACATTATCACTGTGCAGCTTTGGATAAATTCAGTCATGACTTTCTGTGGCTTACATCTTAAGTAGATGTGTTGTTTTGACTCACTTTGGTGATTTTGTAATCGAATCAGCCTATGGAACCAACATAACATCTAACAGGTGTGCAACAAAAGGTGTTAAAACAACACCTCTACTTAGAAATCATGACAGTGGTTTCATTCATCCATGTTTACCAGAATGTATGTCAGTTGCTTAGTCATTTCTGGTGAGACTTTAATACTGTCACTGCTTGCTACTGCTTCATGATTGTGTTACAATATTATCACTAATAAATACACAATGGTATTAAAAATGAGTATGTGTGGCCAAAAGTGTGGTATGGTCTTTCTGTAGTGTTTGTAGAAAAAAAATGGGAACAAAGTCGTTACACCCAAAAATTTGCCGAAATAGAAGTTATACAGAGAGAGATATCTGCAGCTGCCATGTTATGTATACTGGTATGTATGTTCAATTGATTGATGCCTGTAGATCATTAAGTTACTGGCAAATTTATTATGAAAATTCTGCTTATACTGCTGTCTGGGTTCCTAGAGAAGATTCTCAGGGAACATTTTTCTGCAATGAAAAAGAGCAATTTTGTAGAGAGATTGAGTTCATAGTAATTATGGGTACTAAAATTCCTTGTTGCAATAGGACTAAAACAAAAGCCCATCAACCAAATATTTTAAAACACCAAATAAGGCCTCCTTAACTCTCCAAACCATGGTTGGCAGTCAAAGTTGACTCAAATTTGATTTGATTCACATCAAAAGGTAGGCATGGCTTGAATCTGATTCGGTTGGTTGGTGGTCAGGGAAAGGTTCTGAATGTGTGTCAGGGGCTTAAAGAGTAACAAATAGGCTGTGCAAGTTTAAATTTCTCCTACCCTGCATAAAGATGCAGTACCATACTCTGAAAGTAGAGGGCATTGAAGGTACAAGGGCAGTAACAACACTCCTGTGGTTTCCCTTGGTGGGGGGGGGTACTTCACACCTAGGTGCCAAGTGAAGTTTCTAATACTGGGCAAGTGAAGTTTGATAGGGTAACAATTAGCTGTTAATAGCCTTTGGGCCTGAAACTCGTGGCAGGCATTGGTAAGGGTTGAGACATGAAAAAAAATGCAGAATACATACAATCACAATGTATTATAAATCTCCAATCTTCCCTTCACCAACCTCTGCTTGGAGAGTACACTCTGGTGGCAGAAAAGCCCTTATTTCTTGATCACACTCAATATGGCTAACAAACCACTCGTAGAAATACACAACTGGCCATCTTTCCTTTTTTAAAGAGGCATTTTAATGTCTTTCCTGTAACATGAATGTGCTACTTGACATTATGTATCAATATGTGAGTTACAAACCTTACATCTTATGAGAATGACAAAAGTAACCTGCAGCAGTACCCTGGCATTATATAGCATTTTACGTTCCATTAATAATTAGCAACCTTTTGCTATTCTTTTTATTGGTCAAGCTTAAAATTTTCCTGCTCTGTCCTAAAAAGAGGTATGGCAGAGAAATATTTGTCACAATGTAAAAATTCAAGCAACACATCATAAATCAATCATAATAAATCATTCAAGTACCTACCAATATGTACATTTACAGATACATGTAATACAAAAAAGTACCATCTTTATCATAACAGTAATTTTTTTATGCTCTTGCAAAGTTCTCTTTCAATGCAACAAAAAACAATACATATCTTGTGGAAGGTTTCCTCGTACATGTTAAAAAAAAAACTGTACAAACAGAATGTCACAAAATCTCATCAAAATGATGGCATAAACATTTGTTAATTTAAAAGTGCCCTTATTGTTTGGACAATGAAGACATAATGGGTAGGTATTTGAATTAATGACAAGAGATAATTAGATTATATCTTTGTCTAATATAGTTGACAATTAACTTTCACAGTACTGGTTATTACTATAAATCACAATTTTTTCTGGTACATTGTACATGTACTTTTTTATTCAGATTTTTTGCAGTCACTTCTGTACTGCAAACTTATCATTACCATGAACAAATAATTTGGCGACTTTCTTTTTGCTGCACCTGCCACCACTGCAAACATATAGTTCCGTGAACATTTTTCTCAGACTGCAAACTTTTGCTACTGCGAACATTAAGTGATTTACAGTATTCATTCCAGCAGTAATACATGTACAGTTATCCTAAAACAAAGCTGCCAGGCAAGCTTACATATATCAGAAACTCCTAACTTAGTCATCCTCTCGTTCTTCTTCCTGAAACCTGAGATTTTCGACATCGACGTCCGACTCCACCGCAGGTACGTCGTCATCCCCGCTCATGTCGATTTGGACTAGTCCGCTGAGGAGGGCGTACGCTACCATGGCAGCGATGGCCACGCCCACAGACAGGATCTTGTTAGTAGTGCTGTACTGCCGGTCCTCTACTGTGCTCGGCGTGAATGTTGAATGGTCTGCATCTGAAGGGAAATAGACAAGTTTGTTTGAACCATGTTTTATACCATTCTTTATTCATGAAAGCTCAAATCGGCATGCAGGCCACTTTTCATTGAGGCATGGAGGTGTGTTTTTCTACCTGCATGATTGAGGTAACTCTAGTGAGTTTACATTCGGAAGTGATCGGTCATTTCTTATCCTGATGAAGGTGACAGTGGTTGTTGAAAATTTTATCCCTGTTTACCCTTATGTTGGAATAAAGTTCAACATTGTACTATGATTACTATGAACACGGATGAACTTCCATGAAATTGTCTGTTTTACATCTGGCATAGTTCTCACTAGGCTGTTGGAGTGTAGGGGCCTCCTGTGATTTCCACCCCCCTATGCTTGATTTAGCCCCCTACACTGACTTTCAACAAGCGTAGGGGTGTTTCTTTTGTCACTCTTCATAAATCTTTTTAAAAAATGAAAATCTGACTTCAGAATGAAGCTATAACACAGGGAAAACATAATTTTATAAAATTTGTCCCTCAAAATAAGTAGGAAATAGTGCCTCATGGGTTTACAAGTTTATAAATTTTGGGGGGAGAATACCAGACCCCCAACTGTGGTGATGTCTTGGCGTGGGACTTGACGTGTGGAACAACTTGTGCCGTGGAAAGTTGTCCTTCAATACCTGGCCCTATGCTGTGAAATAAAAAAAAAACACGGTAAGAACCATGTCTGGTACCTTCTGAGTCTGAAGGGAAGTAGCGACTGGTGATGCGCGCGCAGAAGTTGAGCAGGTTGTTACAGTTCTTGAGGTGGTTCTGGAGCTGGTTGCTGGGGAGGGGGGCCTTCAGCACTGGGGCGATGTGGGCAAACACTATAGCATCCAGGGTGGTGGGGCTGGGGAGGACACAACCAACGAAGACAAGTTCACTTTTTGATCATATGTCCTAAATATGTATAATTCACTATACATTAGACTATCGGCTTCTGTACCAAGATTTACCTAAATAGACTTGAAAAGCAAATCTAAATACATAATGACATGTGACAACCCCTGTATGGTATAAATATATATTTAAGACCGTAAAACATTAGAAATTCCTCCAATGATAGTAAAAGTTCATACATGTACCTATCCCTTACTAGTCACCCACTTTAGTTACCAGTAAATATTGTATTGCACAAAAATATTGTAATACTGGTAAGCTTCCTTACAATGGTTAAAAATGTCATACAAAATGTGTACAATAGTATTCCACGTATATACATGTACATGTATATACAGGAAAAAAGTTCACAAATATAGTGAAGGCAAATACAGTATACCTTTGTCCAAAGAAGAAATCCTGCTCCCCCAGTCGTCCAGACAAAAGGTTCAAACACTCCTTAGCATCTCTGTAGATCTGAGAACCAAAGAAGGGATCAACAGTAATTCCGGTTTATACTTGAGAAAATCAGAGCTGACCATAATATATATATTACATGTAAAAATGTAAATGTAAAATCTAATTATCCAGATTACAGCAAGCTTAAGACCTCATCGTGAAAGTTCATTTGTGTTGGTGATTAGATGTTTAAATTAAAGTTAAAACTTTACACAAAGAATGGTTCTCACTTAGAACTTTCGACTGCAGCCACTCTGGTCTTCCTCGGTAGACTGACCCAGTGAGATATCGAGTCACCTGTACATTCTTTTTCATTGGACATTGTAAGAATATTATACCAAACAAGACTACTCCCTGAGGAGTGAAAGAGGCTATTTACACCAGGGCAGGCCTCGAAATTAACTTTTCTTCCAATTGTCCCAGCACTGTCCCAAAAATAAATTTCAATTGTCCCAAAGTGAGGATGGACTGTCCCGGGAGTAACAGTTAAATGTATGACTTCAACTTGAAGTCAATTTTATTTTGCTTATGTTCTGACTCCCAGGCGCGCTATAATTGCAGAGTAGACAAGAAATTTGAATCCAAAAGCCGGACGTGTGCCATATCAGCAATAGAAATGCTGACATTTTGATGTTGATTATTTTTCTGTTGTCCCCAAAATGTCCCAAAGTGGCTTTTTAGTTGTCCCGGCCTAAATTTTAGTGGTCAGTGGCCATTGGGACACTGTTATTTTCGAGCCCTGCAGGGCCCATCTCCCTTCACTCAACCTTGATAGAGGTTTCGTTTACCAGATACCTTTGTTGACATCACTCTTCAGAGAAGCCACATGGTAAGTCTCACTGGGTCAGTCTACTGAGGAAGACCAGAGTGACTGGTGGAAAGCTCTAGGTGAGAACTACTAGTTTTAACTTATATAGGATATACCTGAGCTTCCATCTCCCCATCTATAAGGTGGTCCCCACCGCGTGTGCACTGCAATCTCACTTCTGCGGCTTGTTGCATCCGTCCGGGGACGAAGAAGTTCAGAGGAAACGGCAGTGCCCGGGCGTACCATGGGCGCGAGAAATCTACGTAGTTCCTGGCATCCATCCAGAAGGAGTGAAGCTGATAAAAAAAAATAATGGCAAGTAGGGAACAGAGCTGTCAACAAGGTGGAAAGTTGAATATTTATGAAATATATATGTCTTGTCAAACTATTTTGTACTGCTTGTACTGTTCTTTTGTGCCATTTAATTAAAGACATACTGTGTAAAACATTATACACTTCAAAAGCATTACCATTGCTGGTACAAATTTTTCCTCCAAAAGTGAGGTGAATGCCAGCACATCAGAGCTCTGCTTTGCTGTCAGTTCATAGTCAGCATTGAATTTCTGCAACAGTAAATGAAAGGGTAATTACAAATACATAAACAGCTTCACATGTCCAGGAATATAAGTTCAAAGAATAGCTTTACTCCCTGAACCCTTAATGTAGACATACTGTCAGATATTGAAAAGCATATTGATGGATCTGGCGTGGTATTCTGTATCTGTATCGGTATAGCTGGTATAGCCAGTATAACCACCCTTCAGCATAACACACCAGCTTATATTATTGTATTAAACAAGACTGTTTGGAAAACTACAAGTCACACACCTCTTGTCTAAGGTAGTCCAGTATCCTTCCAGGAGATGTTAAGACCAGGTCCTCTCCATTCTTGAACACTGGTAGGGAGCCTGTATAAAGACAACACGCAATTTTCAGGCCTGAAATAAGTCATAACATCATCAATAAAATTTTTCATTTTTGTGTACTAAAATATCAGTGTCCTACTAGTACAGTACATGTATTGAGAGTTGAGTACATGTATAAATTTCTTTTTAAAAAACTAAGAAGAAAATAACTGGTAAAAAGGGACACATGTATACCTGATGGAGATTTCCATGGGTTGTTGATTTTCTTCAGCTTCAGTGGGGCACCTGCAAACCTTGCATAGGCCTACAGAATAGAACAGGAGAGAACGAAAACAACCAACATGTGAGAGACGTCGTAGCAGTGTACCAGTATGTTGAGTTCAAACAACAACAGCAACTGACCAGTCCAACAGTCCAGACCTTTTAGTTTTACCCTTGCAGTTGGTGCTTTTGGCTCGTGAGTTAACAGTCTGAGTTCGAATCCAGGGACTGTACGTATACTAGTACTTGCCCCTTTGTGTTTCAATGTCTTCATCCTATCTATACAAAATTGTATGCAGTCGCTGTGATTAAGTAGCACCCCTTTCATGGCCCTTTCATAATTTCTGAGAAATACTAGTACACTATCAACTTTTATCAGGCTTGACAATAATAAATTTCAGGCAAGCTCATATATGATTTCTCAAATCTGTCACCAGAAAATATTACAATAATGTTAATAATATAAGATTTTTGGGTGTGTCAGCACAGTGACTCAATGCTGGTTGGGATACCCAGGCACTTCTTGAAGGAAAAAAAAGCAAAAGACATAAGGCTGGCGCTAAATACCATGATTTGGGGCATGTGAGAGAACTTACCTTCTTGATATAATTTTGGAAACGCCCCCCTCCCACTCAAATGATGCATAAGTTGATTCAGCGACCAAACATAGGCCTAAGTCCCCATGAAATTCTTTCTAGCATTACAAGTATAGTCTTTGCAATGGCTTAGACTGTTTTCACACTCACAATAACCGTTAGACAGTCTACATCGATGGACGGCAGGCCCCAGTCCCCCTTCCAGCACCACAGCTCCATGGGCGCCGCCATGTTGGGTCACGGCGGTGTGCTTACCTGGGGTCAAATCAATGCGCCAACCTTCCTTCCCACATAACCGATTTAACTTTACCCTAAATGGGATAACTTTGACTTGGAAATACTCAAGTTATCATATCCTTTGAAGAAATTTATCTTAAAAAATATTTATTTTTGTAGATCTGTACGGACTATTTTGTAAGGCGCGCTTGTATATTGAGCATATAGGGTGTTCCACGGTCGACCCTTTAGCCTCAAAACATTTTCGACTGAGTAAAGATTTTGTCGTGCTCGAAGCCGTATCAACAAAATCTCCTAAGTATGATTTCAGGACGATTTGTTTTCGGCTTCTGTGCGTTTGTCGCAGCGTACATGTACTATTCGCCTCCCGGACACGAGAAGAGGACCCTGCAGTATTTTCAGTCTGAGATCCGACAACCGGTTGTCCGCTTTCATCGAGTTGCAGTCGGGTGAGCTCAGCAGTCAACCCAAAATATTCAATCGATAGATTTCTGTTCGAAAGATAAACTTTCAAACTGTAGAAGAAGTATATTTGCATGCCTGTTGTTTAGCCTGTTTTTAGAGGTATTGTAGAAATGACGGAGTAGGAACATATCGAAGTGGGCGTGTCAACGTAACTTTGTTTTGTGAACTTCGGCCTTTTATTACGTGCATTAAAGAGTACAGGCCTTGTAACTCTTTTGGTGTGTTCCCTATAGAAAATGGTTGGGAAGACAAATGATACAAAATAAGACTGCGTGATATTGATAGAACTGGAGAAAATACTGCTAATTCATGTTATTGCCAACGTTAACTTAACTGTTATGTAAAAGAGGTTAATTAAAATACCATAGGAACTGCTGTCCTTTCGATGGCGGCAAAGCGGGGTAGACCATGTACTCAAGAGTACTGTGCATGGTCTACCCCTCCGGTTCAGTGTGGATTTGTAGGTAATTACCTTATCCTCTTTTACATCATCATGACTTTGTCATGTTCAACTGGTTTTCAAATTCAAATTTTCAAATTCAAACTTTATTTTCTACTGTTCCTTCAGTGTGATTAGTGTCGACTTGTTCTGTCAGTTCAATCGGTGATGCTGAAGAAGAGTGACGGGGGTTATTTATCACTTAGTAGAGTTTGATTTGTCTTTGAATATTGTTTTACCTGTTGGATGTCTTGTCTTGTCCCAGAGTGAATGCTGGTGTGGACCTGATTGTGTCTGCCACAGAGCTGCTGCAGGGCCTGGGGATGACCCCCAGTCAGACCAGGACTGACCACCTGCACCTGGACAGTCTACAGGTGTGTACTCTGAGTAAAGAGACTCTTTTTACACAACCAAGTCTTTTATTCAGCCGATGTTTCGGTGACCGTCTGTCACCTTCCTCAGGGCAATTCTGACTGGTTCACATTGCACTGCAGCACAGGTGTTGCTACTATAGATGCACTCCCAAACGTACAATATTTACATATTTGCACACATGCTTGGCCACATATAATAACTGACCACAATTGTATATATCCAACTCCTGTACGTTTGGGACAGCATTGTAGAATACAGTTCCCTGTGGCCACGTATGTGTGTAGATATGCATGCCCGTAGCCAGGATTTTGAAGGGGGGGGGGGTTCGTTCCCACTGCTTGAGGGGACCTTGAGCACTAGGGGGTCCGGGGGCATGCTCCCCTGGGAAATTGTGAAAAATGAACCTTCTAAAATGGCATTTCGTGCATTTTTGAGAGGATTTCCAAGAAAAAATCAGAGATGAATTTTTATTCAATGACAAAGGGAGCAGTTTTTCTACGATTCCAGCCCATCTGTTCAAGAAAAATCTTTACATAAAAAGTTCTTCCGAACCCCCCCTGGCTACGGGCATGATATGTTCTGGACACGACTCTGGATCAAACCAGGTCTAGCTGTTTCATAGTTGAACGTTCTACCACTACGTCTTCTAAAACACATTGTTTCACAGGACCTGGAGGAGGCAGTGGCTTACTACATGGAGAAGGGCGCGGCAGGGGAGCGCTACATGGGAGACGGAGCGCTGTTTCAGCAGATAGTGGCAGCGGCCGAGAAACTTCCCGACAAAAAGGTACGAGCAACATTACCTCCTTGATTACAGCCATGGTGGTCTAACTCTAACCTTGATTAGTGAGAATAAACTACTTACAAACTCGTTAGATAAGTGCAGTCAAGTTTATCAATGAAAACATCCACGTAATAATAATGAGATACACTAGGAAATTGTTACAAGGCAGCTGTCAGATGTTTCAGGTAGCTTCCACTACTTTTCCTCAGTGATTTCCTTTGGCATTCACATATTGCAGTACTTCTTTGGTCCGCTAGGTGTCTTCTACATCATACCCCCCAGGGTTATACTTCTTTTGATAGATTACTTGTCATTTTCTTTGTACAATTGTAGCTTTGTAGTAAATTGCACAGTAAACTGAGTTGTTAGTTAGAGTTACAAAATGTAGTTGGATTGAATCCAGTTGCATAACAGTACTGTATCAGAATTTCTTGTCAAACATTTTAGTGTTATGGAGATGCTAATGTGTCTACAGCAACATCTAGATCTGAAATGGCTTGTTAATATGTTTTATGTCCTTTTTATCACGACTAGGTCTCCATTGGCGGTAATGCAGCCCTGATGGGGGAGAGGATGGCTGACATGGGTGTTCAGGTATTGTACACCAGCATTCTCTTTTACTCAGACTTTCTGCCAAAAATTATGATTTTAAAGGCATTTCAGGGCAGCAAATAAAAAAATATTCTAGATGAGGAAATTTGCCATATTTTTTACATTTTACTGCCATTTCTCAGCACATTTTTTGTCATCATTTCATACTTAAAGCGTTTGATATTGCCCCCAAACAAGCTACGATCTCTTGAGTACCACCCGTAAATAGCTAGAACTAGCCTTTTGCCTCACAGGTATCAGCACATGCTATTGGGTAGGGTTGATTCAAAGAGTGCAGAACATGTCATCCCATCACTTTGCATGTAGATAAACAATTAGGATGCACTCCGTAGATGTACTCAGTGTTGAACTTGATGTTTATCTATTAGTTGCCTTCGTCAGAAGGCTATGAAATCACTTTGCTATAGTTCCCTATATATCTTCTACACATTGATATGTCCTTGGTTATCAGGTGTTACTAGGTGGACCGATGGGTCCACAGGCCATGAAGCTGCTGAGCTCCAGCGTGCAGGTGCCGCGGGACTGCATACGGGCGCGGGACGAGGTCCACCTCATCCTGGAGTTTGGGCGCGGTGAGGCCTGGGGCGACGTGGAGGCGGCCGTCGCCACCCGCTTCATCTTCTCCAACGACGTCTCCAACGCCAGGATGGAGCCGCTGGAGGCGTTCTTCGGGCAGTTGGAGCACTTCCGCCCTGACCTGGTGGTCTGTATCTGTATGAATGGTTTATTTCAACACTGTCGCAAACAAATACATGTAGCAGCCAGAGTGGCTGAATTGTGTTAAGACATGACAACAATTCGGGAAGAGACATATTCGCATGTAAAACACTAGTGATGATATCTATGCAAAATTTGCCGGATACTAGTAAAAAGGAGAATAGTTAGTCAAGTTAAAAAACCTTATCAGGCATAATTGTCAGTTGGTACAAATAGTCAAGGGCAGACGAATTAAATGTCTCGCCGTGTATCTGTATGTGTATAGCAGATATAATCGCCCTACGGTGTAACACACCTTCACAGGCACCGGGCAAGGTGGCAGCTAGCTATACATTAAACCGATCAACTTGTTACACCTAACCCTTGAACATCTAACTCTAAACATTGTTTAAAGCTATCTAATGACAATGCCCCTACTGTACTTGATGACAGTGAGTTCCACTCTGCGACAGGTTTTGTCGGGTCTGCACCTGTTGGAGAAGGAGAAGGACAGTTTCCGACAGGCGCGGCTGGCCAGGGTCGTCCACGTGCTGCGGAACATCCCGGACGGCATCGCGGTCCACCTGGAGCTGGCCAGCATGGTCGACACGGCGTTCCTGAAAAAAATCGCAGCTGAGGTGGGTGGGGTCTCTGTGGTGATTGGGGTAGTGTCAACTTCTGTCTTCAGAAGTATTATGCAATGGAGTGCAGAAAATCATATCTTCAAATTCATCATTCATTCAAAGCTACCCCTACAGCTCTGAGTCTACATATACATGTATGTCAACATTTGTGTTATTTCGGCCATATTGATTTGAATTTTGTCCATTTCCAAAAAAAAAAGTTTTCAAGCATGCAAATGAGCCATTAATTGCAAAAAATATTCACCATGCCATACTGTGTGTTATTTGTTCAACTTCTATGACCACATAGATTTCATAATGAAGGCAACTTTGTTTTGCCAACCTTTTTTTATTCGTACGCTTGCATCAGTTTTGGGATTCCCATAAGATGTCATCCATACAAATAAATCAACATGGCCTAACTAAGCTCAAGGTTCACCCCTAATGACATGGTAGTGGATTTCTTCCAAGGACAAAAGGAGTGTTATTGTTCTGTACAAGCTACCATCAGTTTTAGGGTTCCCAGAGGATGTCATCCATATGAACATGGCCTTATCCACTGATGTACTTAATTGTGTTCTCTACCCTAATTGCAGGTTTTCCCTGTGGTTCACTCCATCGGTCTGAACGAGCAGGAGCTGGCCTTCCTGTGCAAGTCTGTGGACGGACCTCTCCACGCAGAAGTCCTGGACGGGGGTCAGCCGGAAATACCCGCGGTCAACGACATCCTCTTCTGGCTCCTCCAAACCTACGGTTACTCCGAAGAGAACCCCACCTCTCGCTTCTCCCGGATCCACTTCCACTCGCTGACGTTCCACGTCACCGCCGCCCTCCCCGCTTTCTGGGGGAATCTCCCATCAGCCACTGCGGCGGGAAGCCTGGTCGCGCCCCAGCAGGCCTGCGGAGAGGACGGCGTCATCACGCACTCGGAAACCGACATAAAGATTCCGCTGGCATTCCCACTATCCGTACAACACCCCCCACTCAGGAGAGAGATAGTCAAGTATAGTTCTTATCACCCAGTCACAAGTTGGGTGAGGGAAGGGGTAGAATTTGCGTTTAGTCCAGTTTTAGTGTGTAAGAAACCCATCAGGACTGTCGGTTTGGGTGATGCAATATCGGCAACAGGGTTACTATACTCACAGTTCAAGGGAACACAATGATGTTATCTGAACTACTTGTTGTAGATAATCATTATATTGATAGTCAATACGTGTATAATGTCCTTGGTTTATCATAATAATGAACTTTCTTGTGCTTTGTTCAGGTACGGAAAAACAAGGTAACGATATGTTTATTCCAGAATAAGCAGTGAAACTGCTGCTAGAATTTTTATTTGCCTGAGAATTATGTGTGATGAGATAACAGCCACACATGATCACCAGTGTTAAAGGTATCAAACTGTCGGAAGTGAATAGGGATGTGCAATGGCCAAAAGCTATCAGTGCCCAAAGCAAATTTGTACAATACAAACTCCTACCTTGTAAAGAGGGCCTGCATGGGGGGTAGTGATAACAAATTAGGCAAACATTCAGCCACCAATTACAAATTAGGCCATGTTGATTTGATTATATGGATGACATCCGCGCGCGCATGAATTTTCGGCCGTTTCCAAAAAAAAAAAGTTTTCAACCATGCTGTAAATCGTACAAAACAGTTGCAAAATGAGCAAAAATATACCATAAGTTACAAAAAAAATTAATAAAAACTATACCAATGTCGTAGAATGCCAAAATCAAACGAAAAAAGACGAAATTGTAAAGAAATGAACTTGAAGACTAGATTATTTGCCAAACCATATTCTGTGCCATTTGCTCAACCCTCATGACCACGTAGATTTCATAATGAAATAAAACTTCTTTTTTTTTTTGCAAAACTTTTTTTTTATTCGCACGCGCGCATCAGTTTTGGGGCTCCCGGAGGATGTCATCCATATAATCAAATCAACATGGTCTTAGGTTAAAGTCTCAGAGCTGATTACGAACAATTACGTCTTATGGCTAATGTACTGATTACGAATTACAATGATTTTGGCTGCCTACAGATTATGAAAAGTAAAAAGACCTGATTACGCCTTACGAAAAAAGGCATGCAGACCCTTTGGTAATACATGTAGCAAGCAAAAATCCTGGAAATTATGCCAATGGGGTAGGCCACTCTGTCGCAAAGTATTCATCAGTCTTCAGTTGTGTGACAGTTAGTTGTACAATGGCAATCATCACAGCATAACACAAGGTGTAGATGACTTCTGTTGGTACATGCATCAACTGCTGCATGCTGCCCAATAAAGTATTTAGTTCCTGAAAACTTATCTTTCACGGTCAATATTCTAGTCACTAATCTACATACTAAGTTGACACAGTTAACACTTCACTTGAATGTGCTATATATGTGGGGCAGTATCATAAAGATTCCTTTATTCAGAATACATGTAATCCAGTTTTTCTGCCCTGAAATTGCATTGGATGCCTTTAAAAAGAAACTTGTGGAAAGGTGCAGGTGGTTGGGAGTGATACAAGTTTAAATAACTGCTACAGTAGATGTTTATGATAATGAAATCATGACTAACACTGTTGAATACATTGAAAAAGTACATAACAAACTTGAGTTCCACGACCGCATACCAAAAATCACAACAACCCTTCGATCGGTTCTTGAGTTATCCTCCTTCAAAGATTTATGAACAAATTCCAATGTCTGGTCAAGACCTACCCACATACCAAATATCCTGAGTTCTTCTGTTGACAGACACACACACAAACACTACCAAAAATATAGCACTGATTTTCATGGGAACATCTGCTTGAATGAGGCACATTTTCCCCCAACTGTAAGAATGCATTAAAGGGGTCAGACGAAGATGATTCTAGATACTCCTAACCTCAGGGTTAATCTCCAAGCAGATCTTGAGGTGACTGCAAAGACAGTGTCCAATTGGCCAGTCTGTATCCATTTGCCACATAAAAAAAGTTACGAGTACAAAAAAGGAGAGCCCGAAACAAAATTGATTTTAAAAAAAACGCCAAAAATAAGCCCCGGCCTAAACATCTGCTTTGATTGAGAGTACTACAGGGTGACCTTGACAATTGCTAACGATTTCTTGGAGAAGAGGGGGGTTCTTTGTGACAAGCTAAGACATCTGGAACAACAGACTGGAGCTTGAGGTCAGCCGTCCTGTAATAGATATCGCTCAGCTACAAAACTCTGACGCAAAATCATCCATCTCCAAAGGGTTTCAAGGAAATGGATGTAGAAAAGTCGCCCGGTCCTTCAACTCTTACTTACTTAGGCCTACTGCCCGTCCTTTTTACGCACATCAGGCCATGTTGATTTGATTATATGGATGGCATCCTCTGGGAACCCCAAAACTGATGCGAGCGTGCAAAAAAAAAAGTTTGGCAAAAAAGTTTCCTTCCATATGAAATACGTGCCTGGTTATGATCATGAAGGTGGAACATGGACTCTTCATCATCATACAGTATGTACACATTTTCGTCTTTTCCTTTGGAATTGATTTTGGCATTCTATGGCATTAGTATCCTGTTCTAATATATAGTTATCTCTTTTTTTTGCAATTTACAGTATTCATTTGCTCAGTTTGCAACTGCTTTGTACGATTTACAGTTTTTTCTGTATGATCGAAAACTTTTTTGGAAACAGACGAAAATTCATGCGCGTGCGAGGATGTGTCATCCATACATGTATAATCAAATTAACATGGCCTTACTTGGAAAACATGTTTAATCAATGGGTCAAAATGACACCCTATTTGAAACTGAAAACAGGAAATACCATGTGTGTTGGATTAAGTGGTACTTTAACAACTTCAGCATAGACGTATATACCATATACATGTATCAGGGAAATCAAAGCCACAGTCTAACACAACTTCCTCTTGTGCGATTGTATCCATATGTATGTTCAATGTTTTCCTGATAACAGCACTCTATTGGGCCCAACACTAATGCAATAGGAAAAATAGTAAATTTTAATTCAAGTCATTCTACAAACAATGTTTTCAATTTGGAGGTACATGTATCTCAAGGTCGAGTATACTTTTTGGCGCCTAGATCATACTTTGGATGTTGAAGTGCATAGTTGCAATCTGAACCAATATGTTGAAAGTCAAACACATCAAAATTGAGCTGTTTTGGCTCAAGTTATATTTAAACATGTACCGAAGACAAAACGAAAAGATCCTGTGCATAAGATGTTTTCACAGGGCAACATCCGGACTATCCCTTGGGTACAAAAAAGTGCTCTCGGGCTAAAAGAAATCCCCCTCAGTGTGAAGGGAAGAGAACCCGTGACTCACACAGCGTGTTGTTTCCTCCTGTCTGTCAAATTTCCACTGGAGGAAACCATGAGAGCGTAGGACCAATGCCACAGACAGTGCTCATGAAAATTTATATCAAACAACTAGAAGACGCTTATCAAATTGCTGACAAAAAGTGTCTCTGATTCTTTGTACATGTAGTTTTCGTTGATATATTAGGCCATGTTGATTTGATTATATGGATGACATCCGCGCGTGCATGAATTTTCGGCCGTTTCAAAAACAAAAAAAAAAGTTTTCAACCATACTGTAAATCGTACAAAACAATTGCAAAATGAGCAAAAATATACCGTAAGTTACAAAAAAAAACATACCAATGTCGTAGAATGCCAAAATCAAACGAAAAAAGACGAAATTGTAAAGAAATGAACTTGAAGACTAGGTTATTCGCCAAACCATATTCTGTCCCATTTGTTCAACCCTCATGACCACGTAGATTTCATAATGAAAAAAACTTCTTTTTTTTTTTGCAAAACTTTTTATTCGCACGCGCGCATCAATTTTGGGGTTCCCGGAGGATGTCATCCATATAATCAAATCAACATGGCCTTATGCAAAAGTCTATTCCAAACCCCTTGCTTACATTGGCCATTATTCATATAATCATAGCCTTCGATGAATGATTCTTTCGACTTCCTTTCGCTGTATGATTAGTTAGAGATAGTTCATCGAAGACTGCAAGGAATATAAATTTCTCTGAAATATTCAAATACTTGAAATGGGAAAATTAACACATAATCGAAATGAATGCTTCTTTCGCCCTCACACGAAGAAAGGACAACCTACAGTAAAATGTATCTCGTCTTCTAGTTTACCTAAAAACAACACAAAAAACACCTGTTCAGATAGCCTACAAGCATATGTTGGGATAGTAGACCATTTTCTAACAGAATGTCATTCATAAAACTTTATTATCTTTTACATCTGCTTTGAGATTAATGTGTACGAGCAGATCATAGAATCGTATGTAGATTGATCGAGAGATGGATAGCAAATAGCCAGTGTACGGAAATCAAAATATACATGTAGTATAGTCACCAAAATCTGTACAGATGACAGAAAAGCACACCTGTTTCGATGGATCTTTTGGCAGTACGTTATATAGCATGGCTCGGATCAGTGATCTTCTGTGTTTGTCAAGTTTCCCACAAGTCTTGAGTGTCGAGATCACAACAACGATGACTCAGAAGTTGTGGTTCCGTCGGACTTCGTCTGATGAAAGACGGGGTCAAAACAAATCACTTAATCTTTGCAGGGAAAACCCTCTCATTGCGGTAAAGTGCTGAGATAACAAACTAGAGGCCTGCTGTAACATGTGGCACAGGTGGGAACGGCTGGATTCTGAGAGGAGCTCGGTAACGTTACACTGGCTTGGAGAGGCCAAAAAATCTTGAACTGTCAAAAACATTTGACTCACACAGCTTGTACCGGACGACCCCAGTTCTCGGAATGCTTTCATCTACGTGACGCCTGCTGTCAATTTTCATTTTATCGTCCATTGTCGTGACCACGGCCGGTGCATGTATAAATCGACAACAACACGATATTAAACACGTCCAAATACGGGGGGGGGGTCAGGTAGTACTGACGTCAGCACTGCTAGATGTTTAGGCTTTGGCATATTTTTTGCCGTGTTTTGGGGTCATTTTTACTATCGAGATCTCTTTTTTGTGCTGGTGTTAAAACTTCTTTAGAATACGCCAGCCGGATGGCAACTGATACTAGTAATTGTCTGGCAAATGGATACATCCTTTTCAAACGTTGGTCTTTTACAAGGGACTTTCTTCAATACAAAGGACGGACGCAGGCCGGACGTCTTCCAGTTGTCTGTACAAGTTCAATTTTATTTAAATCAACTGGCATGTACACAGATTCACAGAAAATGTGACATGAAATTCGTTGACAATTACAGTAAAAGCTCTCAAAATGTGACATGAAATTCGTTGATAATTACAGTAAAAGCTCTCACATGAAGACAACGATTAAAAGCAGCATAATTAAAAACCAGTTAAAAATACAAAACACTCGTGATGAACAGAGTTCAGTTCTTATACTTATACAACTTAATCGCTCTAGGAAAGAACGAAAGTTCATGTCTCTTTGTACGGCTTTGTCAAGTCATAACATGTCTGACTCGCCGAAGGTCATAGCCACTGTGTAAAGGACGGGAAATGAAACAGTTCAACGGGTTGTCCTTATCGCCCAGGATACTCAGGAGGACACGTAGTGTTGCCTGGTCACGTCTGGACGCCAAGGTCGGCAAGGAGTTCGGAGAAATGCCCATTATTCTGCAAC